TAAATTATTCATAATTTTAAAAATTAACCATGATTAATCATACAGTTAAACAACAGAATATTACTTGAAATGTCTTAACTATTTTGAATTATTTTCTACATTTTCAAATATATTGATTTCTATTACAACACAGAATATAAAGTATACAGTGTTCACTTTATATTATTACTTTCATTACAAATATTTCACTATAAAAATGAGGAACAAACGAAATAGCATTTTTCAGTTCACCTCAGACAAGTACTGCAGCGCAATCTATAGTGAAAGCATAACTTACAAATGTAGATTTTTGTTTGTTACATAAATGCACTCAAAAGCAAAAAAAAAAAAAAAAAAAAAAATGCCTTTAAGTCTGCTTAGTCCTACTTCTTATTCAGCCAATCACTTAGAAATACAATTTGTTTCCATTTATGTCACCAGAAATTTACAACAGGGTTTCACATGACACTTTGGTAGCTGGCGTTGAGAGGCCATGTGCCAAACACGCTAAACATTTGTATGCCCCTTCATTCATCAGTCATTGTTCCAGTGGACATGCTTCCATGCTGATGATGTTTGTTAAAAAGTAATGTATTAATTATATTTGTGATTGAACTTCTTAGAGGAGAATTGAGGAGAATTATCTATCTCCTATTCTGTTTCAACCACATTATGCCATATGTTTCATGTTATAGCACTCTTGGATCACGATCCAGGACATATTCATTTTAAGAACACTGTCACTGCTTATTTGACCTAATGCAAAAAAGGTGAAATTTCTTAAAATAGTTACAGCACTACACCTAAGGTTTAAGAATCTGAAGTGCTATCCAAAACCTGAAAAGGACAGGTGTGGAGCACTCTTTCAGAAGTTTCGAAAGAGCAGTTCCTTTATATAGAAACTATAACACCCAAACCACCAAAAAAGAAAATCAACCTTCTGCTGTTGACATCTGATTCCAGTGGTACAAATGAACATCCATTGGTCCACTCTGCTTTGGATCATTATCAGCATTGACATTAATTCTCTGAAATGTGGTGTAAGTTTAAAGGGATACACAAATCCTTAGTGTCTCTGGAGGGATAAATACCTTGCTATGCCAGCTACAACAGTGCCATGTGGACGCCTGTTCTCACTTTCAGGTGACATTGTAAACAAGAAGCAGGTATTTCATCTCTTGAAAATTGTAACCAAACTTGTTTGTCGATTGACTTGTTTAGATTGGCTGAACAAAAAGAAAGACTAGGAGAACTTTGTGCTCTAAAGTTTTACATTGTTTTAATTTTGAAGACAGTTATTTTGGTACATAATTCTACATTTTTAAGTTCAACTTTCAGGATGATGAGACTGCATTACAGAGCTTAAAGTGGGTAATTTGAAAAATACTATTCTTATAGGGTACGTCTAGACTACCGCGTTTTGTCGACGGAAGTTTTGTCGACAGATACTGTCGACAAAACTTCCGTCGACAAAGAGCGTCCAGACACATTGAGTTCTGTCGACAAAGCAAGCTGCTTTGTCGACAGAACTCCGTAGTCTGGACGCAGTGTTACAGGCAATAACACCTTCTGTCGACAGAGTTCTGTCGACAGAAGGTGTTATGCCTCGTAAAATGAGGTATACCAGCGTCGACAAAACTGCTGAGTTCTGTCGACATTATGTCGACAGAACTCAGCAGTAGTGTAGACGCTGGTATAGTTTTGTCGACAAAAGTCCACTTTTGTCGACAAAACTAGGTAGTCTAGACACACCCATAGAAAAATTATAGGCAATCAAAAATAAAGTGAGCACTGTACACTTTGTAGTCTGTTGTAATTGAAATCAACATATCTGAAATGCATAAAACAGTCAAAATAGTTAAATAAGTGGCATTATCTTATTGTTTAGACACATGATTAATTGTGATTAATTTTAATTACACAATTAATCCCTATTAATTTTTTACTGGTTGACAGTCCTACTTCTTAGATTTCCTGCAAATGAGGAACATAAGAGTGTAGATTCACCTTACTCAATATTTACCATTTGGCTCAATAAAGCTTGATGGCTCACCTTTTCCAAAGTCAATAAGTACTTAATATTCTTGTAATTGATTAGGGA